CTTGGCTTCGAAGCATCTCCCCCAAAATACTAACAGTAGCTTCAATATATGTCCACAAATTCACATTCTCCTCCCTCTAGAAAGTAGAGCCTAATTCCCTTCTCTCCTTGAGTGTGAGCTGGACTTGGTGACTAGCATCTAAGGAATAGTATGTGAAGGGGAAAAAATACTAACCTGACAGATTAACCAAATCATCAGGTTAAATTCATTCAACCAGTTATATATTATGGACACCCAATATGTGATAAAAGTAATTTCTGTGGTATTCTTCCCCCAAAAATCCGTAACTTCAGTCTAATCATAACATCAAATCCAAATGAGATCAAGTGTCATGGTCATGAAAGACAAGAGGCAAGACAAACTGACACAGATCAGGAGACTACATACAATGTGGCATCTTGAACTGGATCCTAGAACAGAAAAAGGACATTACTAGAAAAACTAAGGAAATCCAAATAAAGTCTTTCATTAACAGTATTTTATCTATGTCAATTTCTCAGTTCTGCTAAATGTACCTTGATTATGTAAGATGTTAACACTGGATAATGGGTATGTTAAGACCTCTCTATGACAACTCTTCCAGAAATCTTATTTTATCTCAAAAATACCATTTTCCTGAAAGAAAAAAAACTTCAGGAATCAGAATACTTAACAACTATCTTTTATCTCAGTGTATCCCTTCCCCACTCCGAAGTTAAAATCTACTCAGGTTCATAAAGAAAAACCTTCATTCTTTCTCATCAAGTGAAAATATATGTTACAGTTAATACTAATGCTCATTGGCAAAATTCTTAAACCGATGATCAAGACAGGTGGATACACTCCAGGGAAATCTAGGCGACCTCAGAGTGCAGAAACAAGGGTGTACTTAAGGCACAGCCTATAGCTTTGCATAAACAGCATATGGGAGAAGCCTGCAAGAGCAGGTAGGTGTCACATTCATACATTCCAGATTCAAAATCCCTCTAAGTTTTTTAAATTAAGGAAATAAGCTGACTATAGTACCCTATTAGGTACCACATGCTCTTCAAAACAGTTTTGACAATTCGGTTTCAGAGCGCCAATTCACTTCTTAGTATAAGTATGGTAATACCACAGGTGTGAAAGTACTCTCAAAATACGCAAAGGGTTACACAAATACATAATGATGCTTTATATAGCCAATGAAGTTAATAGCCACCAAAGATTACACCCCGACAAAGTAGATGTGTATACCATCCAGGAAGCCAAATTTATCTCAATCATCTTTAATCTTTACTTTTTATTAAGTACCTAAGATACAACACACATACCAAAAACGTATTACATGACAGACTGGCCATCTGACAGAAGAGGGACTCGATCACAAAGTCGCCTGAAGACCTTACTTACTAAGCTACAGGCTGTGAGGGCAATTTTTTTGAAATTGCTTTCCACCTTGTAAGACAGAATATTAAGACACTATTCATGTGTTAAGACATTATTCATGTGGATGAATTATTCCTACTCTTAACCTTATCACCTGGTTTGCAATTTGGCCTTCCCAACTAAAGACAGACAGGATGTCCAAGAATACTCAAAAAAAAAAAAAAAAAAAGTAAATAGCTGATTTCTGAGATGTAAAATTATAAACCTAGTTTGCCACCACATTGTGATCACCAACTACATGTAAGATAACAGTTGCTGAATCTAAATTTAACTCCAGGGCTTGGAAGGGCAGTACTGCACTACCAAAGGTTTTTCCCACTTGGTGTGGACAAATTACTGGGGGGGGCGGACGAGGCTTCCTTTCTTTATCTTTTTTTTTTTTTTTTGACCTACCTACTTCCACAATTATTCATTCTTCTTCCTAAAGTCAGTAATAGTTTTGTCCAAGGAAGCCAAAGCACAATATAATTAAACAAACAACATACAATGCCTATTTGAATTCTGAAACAAAAAAAAATCAATTTGCAAACTGTTAAAAGACCAAGTGGGTACTTTCATCAGACTGACAAAAATAAAAAATTGTAAAATTGGCGTTAGTCACAAATGTAAGCTTTATGTTAAATTTTACCTTTTAACACTAACCCCATCAATCCTAAGGGCGATATAAAATTCACAAACTTTTACAAAACCTTAAAACTGCCTTCTGCCGTTCACTTTCTATGCAAAATACTAGAACGAGTGGGGAAAAAAAAAGAAAAACCGTAAGTTACAAAAGAAAAACTGCTCTAAGTAGGTCACAAACCAACATTACCAAAATCTCCTAATGTTCCCTGGTGGACTGTCAGCTGAGAACAGCAAACTGAGTTAAACAAAGAACTGTCTACTTTTCTACCTGTAAGAGGTACAAAAGCTAGACTTTTCTACCGGTAAGCAGCTCCAATGGTAGGGATGTAGGGCGGCCTTGCCAAGCCTTACATTACCACAATTTGCTTCAACTCACTAGTTCCTGATAAAGGAATGCACAAGTGATCAGCTGGAGCACCAGTCTGTGAAATAATCACGTAATTTGCATATTCCTGCCCAAGTGATAACCATTTGCCTGAGGCCAAGAACTGTATTTTTTTTTTAATATTTTAAGTAGAAACTAACAAAATTTTCCCTCAATAATGCGTAAGGTAATTTCATTCTATTTTGCCTCAAGCAGTAATAAAATTAGCTGGACTCAAGCTTTAACAGTTTAAATGCAGATCATTCTAGTGTTTTTCCATTTGACAACTTAAATTGCTCGTCTTTAAGTCTAAGTTAAAATGCTAATTCAATAGTTAACCAGTCTGTAAGGGCAGGTAACCGGAATTGCTACACCAGGAAAGTTCCAAGTAAATGTTACTTGGAACATTGTTACATTATAACGCATAACAGCTTCTCTAGAAAGAGTTTCTAGAACATGTTTATAGAAACGTTTATGTTTATAGAAGCGTTTCTATAACACAGGAAGATTTATTTCACAAAGCCAAGGAGTATGCTGGCTTTTAAATAACCTAAAATATGGTAACTCTACTAGAAAAATATAATCTCAAGTGTCTGAAGAAAAGCATCCTGTTTCTGCATATACACAGGAACCCAGCAGAGTAAATGCTAAATAAAAGGAGTGTGTACACAAACTTTCATCCACTGATCTCGACTGTCACAGTTGTTTTTTCCAAGACATCTCCAACACCAGTAATTCAGCCAGGGTGACACGCGCCACAGAGATCAAATGTATATCGTAACTGGGCGCCATCCTTTCCATTCCAATTCCGTATTTTAACCCACAGATGCTAGTGAGATCTGAAACTCGTTACTTTGCACCTCACTTCCTTCAACTATAAAGTTAATCTTCTCAAGGTCTTTCTCCAAAAGCCTCCTCCAATTAAAAAAAAAAAAAATAGAGAAAAAAAAATTCAACGTCTAAAACCGGAGCCAAACTTCCCGCTGGCGGGAATTTCCCATCACCAATCTGAGTTTCAAACCCGATGAGGAACACAGTCGATGTTCATTTGCACTTACTCATCGTTTTCCCTACTTTTTTCCAGAAGTTACTGTGGCGGCACATCTACCCACGGCCTGTACGAATACCCGTAGAAAGCAGCCCAAACCCTTTTCCTTTGTCACATTCCCACTACCAACCCTTGTCTCCCTGGAAGCCCAGAACTAGCCCAAGTACAAATGCCGCTGCAGCCTGCTCGGCAGGTGGCTTTTTGAGGCTGATGCTGTCCCGAGGGACAAGTGCTCTGGGGGCAATGAATACAACAGGCTTGGGAAGCGGGGGACTCGGAGTCAGAGGGCCTGGCGTCAGCAAATCCCCGCCCTTCCCGTGCGTGCCTGTGACCCCGCTCTCCAGACCCTTGCCTTGGGCCGCTACGGGAGGAGGACAGCCGTACCCACCTCGCCGGTTCACTGCGACAATCAAATCAAAGGCAGAAAAGCGGCTCCGCACAGTGCCGGGCACACAGCGAGAGCGTGGAAAGAACACTGGTTGTTACTATCACTCCGTGCACTCGCTGCTCCCTTTCCTCCCTGCAAAACTGAAGGCACTTCTGCGGCGCGCGGACCACAAGACTCCAGACTTTAGTGCTGCATCCACCCTTAAACGAAAGCCTCCTTCTGGTCCGAACCGACTGATCTCTTGGCCAGGGGACGAAAAGACTCCGCAGGCGCGTGGCGGAGTGGGTGGCGGGCGGGAAACGCTGGCCGCAGAGCCCCTAGTCCCCGAGACCGCCCTGGGGCCCGGGCGGCGGCCGCGACTCACTCCCGCCCCGCGTGGCCGTTGAACGCAGCACGCGCACGCGGCGGACACGGCCACGCGCCCCAGTCGGGAGGGGAGGGGGAGCGGGGAGCCGCCGCGCTCCCGTCCGTCCGCCGCGCGCGCCTGCGGCCGTTGGGGCTGGGGTGGGGGTGGGGGACGCGCCTGGCGCGGCCGCCGCGAGCGCCACTCAGACTTCTCCCTCTCACAATTGCCGCGGCTCGGCTTAGTCCTCTGGCTGCCCTGCCCCGCCCACACCCCTGCATACCTACCTGATTGAGCTGGAGAGGAACTAGCTCTGCTCCACAGCACCAAGGATAGCAGAAACCCCTCACGCAACTGCGTCCGCACACACGCGTGCTCCGCCGCCGGTTTATATAGCTGCCACTCACCCTAACTTGTTACGGCCAGGTCGGGCGACGGGATGACCAATCCCGACCGCGTCCTCCGGGCTCTTCGAACAGCAATTGGGCACTTACTGGGGATGAAGGCGTGGCTCTTGATTGGCTTTGACTCATGCCTATGAGACTGTGAGGATCTCGTTTCCCTAGTAACAGATCGGCACTAAGAGAGACCAATAACCGAAAAGTACAATAGAAAGGCGGGGGGAGCAGTTCTTTGACTGATACCCAGAGTAGCCAATAAATATGCGGGGCTCCTCTTATTCGTTAACACGTCTTCCCCTGGGCGGAGATGCGTTTTCCATGCAGGAGCGGTTGCGCCACAAGGTGGGGCCCGTGTACTTTGGGGAAGTAAACCCCTAGCAACTAGGAGGTGGGCGCGCGAGAGGCCAAGACAGCCTGTGGCCAATCGCAATGCTGGAAGGAGTTGATAGACACAGAGGTTGCGCTGCTCGGAAGAGACCGAGCCCCAGGGCGACTGTGCCCTCTGGGCGGTTGTGAGGCTATGCAGGCTGCGGCTTCTGCTCTCTTTCCTTTCTTTCCCTGACTTGCTGGGTCCCGGCTCTGAGGCGTGCACACCGCCTTTTCTGCACAGTTTGGTACCTGTGGGGAACCAAGTGGCAAAGTTTCCCGGGTGGTTTTGTTTTTATTACAACTTTTTTCTTACATACGACGGCCAAGGGCCTTGCTGCCCTCACCATTACTCAGCACTGCTGTGGGGCACGGGAAGGAAAGTCGCTCCTGCGCCGCCTGCGGGCTCCCGCCGGAAGGTCGCCAGTGGAAGCGCCTGGGAGCGCGCCCTTCCGCCAGGCGCTTCCGGGCGGGTGCTGCGAGGCGGCCGCGGGCGTGTGGCGAGGCTCCCTTTGTGGCGGCTGAGGCACGGTGGTCCGCGCGTGCTCCAGTGTAGTTTGGGCCCTCGCACCACGTCTCGAGCCTCGGCACTATTGTTCAGCCTGCAATTGCCGCGGATGGGGGCTTATTCTCGTCGCTACGCCTTTAAAAGGCAACTCATCCCCTCCTCCTGGCGTCTCAGGCACTGGCGGGGCTATAACTCATGGCTGGGCGGCCCTGCGTGGGTCGCTGTGGGCATTTTCTGTGGAAATAGCTTTGATCCCAGCCGTCAGGCACAGACACGCCCCGGTTTGTTTTCGTTCGGGCATGTGACCAGGCGGGAGGGTCTCCCGCGGAGTTTCGCTGAGAATTTTGGAAATGAAGCACTATGTAGGGGTAGAGAGGCCGAGCTGAAAGGAGCACGGGCGCCGGCCTCAGCCTGTGGGGAGCCGGGCCCGCTCGCCTCCCTGCGCCTGGCTAACCCGAGCCTGGAACTCGGGAAGCCCAGGAGCGAAGCGAAAGCCCCTTTTGGCCTTTCAGGGCTCCACTCCCGCAGCAGCCCGGCTCCGTCGGAGTCAGTGGAGCCCCAGGCCTGGGTCCGAGTTGAGCGAGACGCTGCCCTGGCTCGCGATTGCCCAGGCGCTCCCAAAACCAGGGAACAGTCCCCAGGAGAGAAGCCCCTGAAGTTTCCTGGAGCAGGGAATCTCCAAGATCCTGTTCTGCAAAGGAATCTGGACTTTATTCTGAGGGCCGTGGAGAACCCCTGCAAAGTTTTTTAAAAGGTGGACTAAGATTGGCATTTCACAACATGACTCTTCAAATTGAAACACTAAGAAGATTGGCGAAACTTAACATTTACAGATTAGTAATTTAACCCAGGTGACCCGCCATGAGGGACATGGCTACCCTTCATTTTTGGAGGGAATTTTAAGTGATACAGATCTTTTTGCCAAGCAATTTTTTTTTTTTTTGAGATGGATTCTCACTCTGTCGCCCAGGCTGGAGTGCAATGATGTGGTCTCGGCTCTCTGCGACCTCCGCCTCCCGAGTTCAAGCGATTCTGCTGCCTCAGCCTCCCGAGTAGCTGGGATTAAGGGAGGAGACTACCCCTCATATCGTCTGATGCCCAATTTCTGCCTAGAAAGAAGAAGTAAAAACTAAAAGGCAGAAAGAAATCCACAGGCAGCCAGCCCGGTGCAGCACCCTGAGCCTGGTAAAGATTGACCACTGACCTAATTGATTTTGTTATCTATAGATTACAGACATTGTATAGGAATACACTGTGAAAATCCCTATCTTGTTTTGTTCCCATTTAATTACTAGTGAATGCAGCCCCCAGTCACGTACCCCCTGCTTGCTTAATCAATCACGACCCTCTCACGTGCACCCCCTTAGAGTTGTGAGCCCTTAAAAGGGACAGGAATTGCTCACTCCGAGAGCTTGGCTCTTGAGACAGAAGTCTTACTGATGCCCCTGGCCGAATAAACCCTTTCCTTCTTTAACTCGGTGTCTGAGGAGTTTTGTCTGCCGCTCGTCCTGTTACATTTCTCGGTTCCCTGACCGGGAAGCCAGGTGAATGGTGGATGGTCAAGGCAGCTCCTTAGGCGGCTTAAGCCTGCCCTGTGGAACATCCCTGCGGGGGGACTCCAACCAGCCGGAGAGCTGAGAGCGCTCCCGGGTAGGCATTTGCCCTGGTGGTACGCTTCGCCAGAGCAGTGTGTGGCAGGCTCCCGTGGAGGATCAAAACAGTGGCTGAACACCAGAAAGCAACAGGCACTTGGAGTCTGGACATCTAAAATTTGGTAAGACTAGTCTTTGAAACTTGCCCACTCCCTTTGAGTGGAAGCGTGGCCTGATCACCCATGGCGTGCCTTTATTGGCACTTTGGTTTTGATTTTGATTTGGTTTGAGTTGCTTGACAGGACCGGTCTTGGGAACTTGTCCACTCCATTTGAGGGGAAGCGTGGGCTGATCACCGACGGTGTGCCTGTACCGGCACTTTGGTTTTTGTTTTTGACTTGATATTTTGGTGTTGGTTTTGACCTGGCTTGGATTCCTGGATACTCTGATTTTGGTTTTTATTTTGGTTTGGTGTAAACTACAAAAGTGTGTGTGTGCCCTTTTTACCCGTTCTTTTGTGGTGTGCGTGTGGTGTTAGTGTGGTGTTTTGTCTAGAGGAAACATGGGTAAGGCACAAAGTAAGCCCACTCCACTAGGAACTATGTTGAAAAATTTCAAAAAAAAAAAGGATTTAAGGGAGACTATAGAATACTATGACACCAGGAACACTTAAAACTTTGTGTAAGATAGACTGGCCAGCATTAGAGGTAGGTTTGCCATTAGAAGGAAGCCTGGACAGGTCCCATGTTTCAAAGGTATAGCACAAGGTAACATGTAAGCCAGGGAACCCAGACCAGTTCTAGTACATAGACACATGGTTACAGCTGGTTTTAGACCCCTGCCCCCAACGCACAGTGGTTGAGAGAACAGCAGCGTAAGCGGCTGGCAGAGGCAAGGAAAGACCAGCAGAGAGAGAGAAAGGAAAGAGAGGGAAAGAGGCAAAGACAGAGAGAGGAAGAGACAAACAAAGAGGGAGTCAAGGAGAGAGAGAGAGGGAGAGAGAAAGAGGCAAAAAGAGAGAGGAAGAGACAGAGGCAAAAGGAAAGTCAAAGAGAGAAAGAAGGAGAGAAATAAGTAGTTAAGAAAAAAGAAAAAAAAAAGTACCCTATTCCTTTAAAAGCCATCATACCAATTCTAATTTGGACAAAACAAGGTCTTATGAATAGCAAAGGATAATTAAAATCCCAAACTTACAAGGTTTTCAACAAAAGTAAAGTTTGCTAAAAGTTAACAATGTAACATGTATTATAGTAACTTATATTCTTGTGGCCTTAGACAGTCTAGTCCACAGACATTAAAAAAGGTTCGCTTTGGAAAAGAATGGTTATCATCTTCGGGAAAAAAAGGGGAAAAAAGGGGGGGGGGCGGAATTTATATAAAAGGAGTGTTTTATGGTAAATTCTTGTCCTGAAATAAATTAACTGGTTATTTAAAGAAATAAATGTTTGTAATAAGTCATAAAGTTAAGGCATGTCGAAAAATTGCCTGTAAAAGTCGTGAAGGAGAAAAAAAAGTTATTTTAAAAAGTGTGTTAAAAAAGAATTTATGCAAAAAATGTTTTATAATTTAAAAGTAACTAGGCCTCCTGAATGTAAAACTATTGGGGAAAAAAAACAGTTTATGTGCAAGGTGTATAAGAAAAGCAAAATATACCTTTGGTAAAAGGATTATAAGGAGGCATAAGACTGTACATTTTTACCTACATTAAAAAGTTAAAAAAAAATTTTTTTTTGTTTTGAAGGTTTAAGCAAGTTTGAAAACGTTAATTGTAAAGAACATTCTGTGTGTAAGCATATTAGCTAAAGTTAAAGAAGTATCATCCAGTTTTTCTGTGAACTGGACATTAAAGTAAAAGCATAACAGGTTTTTCTTAAAGCACCAACCTGTTCTTTAGGAAAAATTATAAAAGATTAAAAAGAGTCTATAAAATCTTACCTTATGGTCAAACATTAAAAATTAAATAAATATATCGACAAGGTTTTATTAAAATTAGGTTTAACATTAATGGCACACTAACATAAAGATAACCTTTAGCTTATCTGGTGTAAAAATCATACAAGAAGCATTGTTAAATGTAAAATGGTATTTGGCTTTCTTTGGTTTAAAAACTAATAAAAATAGGTGCTAAAGGAAATTTCTCAGTAAAAAGGCACTAAGGACTATAAAGTCCACTCCCAAGGTCCCCACATTTAAAACAAAAGGTCAATTTCTCAAAAATTATATACTTGGTTTATCTTCCACTTTCCTTTCTTGCAAAAAAAACCCAAAAAAACAAAAAACTAAAAGTCTTTTAGCACATGTACCACCCCTAGAATTTCCAGTAAACCAGCACCAGCCTGAAGATCACATTCTCATCAAAAGGTGGAAAGAAGAAAAACTCGAGCCAGCCTGGGAAGGACCCTACCTTGTGCTGCTAACCACCAAGACTGCTGTTCGTACAGCAAAAAAAGGATGGACTCATCACACCCGAGTCAAGAAAGCGCCTACCCCTCCAGAGTTGTGGGCCATAGTCCCAGGGGAAAACCCTACCAAACTAAAACTAAGAAAAATTTAATTATTTTAGTGTATTCTATTACTCTTTCTTCTTTCCTCATTCTATTGCTGACCATCTAGTTATTAATATAACCAAGTCAATTTCGCCACGAACTATTGCATTTAATGCTTGCCTTGTTATACCCTGCGAGGGCTTGCCAAGTCAAAGACAGCTTTCTACTTCAGAAAAGTACTTCTGTCCCTCCTGACTCTCCTCAGACTAGGCATTAGTAAACTAGGACCATTTAATCTGAGGAGATTTCGATAAAGACCCCAGTGCCAACCATGAGCGTTGCCCCCTGATGTACAGCTTTCATGCCATAGTTGGTCCAACATTCTGTGGACCACTAAAGAGCAAGGATGGACTGCCCCGACTGGTTTTTGTAATTTCCCTAAAACCATACATTCATTTTACTAGAGGATCATAGAAGTTAAAGACTTAAACTTTAGCAATTAAGACAGGATACCAAGATGCAAATGCCTGGTTAAAATGGATCAAATATTTCCATCTGCATGTTAAACAAAAGCAATTGTTATGCTTGTGCACATGGCAGGCCAGAGGCCCAGATTGTCCCCTTTCCACTAAGGTGGTCCTCCAGTCGACCAGGTGTGGGCTGCATGGTAGCTCTTTTCCAGGATTCTACAGCCTGGGGTAATAAGTCATGCCAAGCTCTCTCTCTGCTATATCTCAAAGTCCGGCACACGGCGTTTCAGCCCCTGAGGGCCATCCAGCTTCCGTCTCCCAATATTAAGTTCACTTCGTGTCTCTCACGACAGGGAGGAAACTTAGCATTCCTTGGAGACCTGAAAGGATGCAGTGAGCTTAAGAATTTTCAAGAGCGGGGCCGGGTGCGGTGGCTCAGGCCTGTAATCCCAGCACTTTGGGAGGCCGAGACGGGTGGATCACGAGGTCAGGAGATCGAGACCATCCTGGCTAACACGGTGAAACCTCGTCTCTACTAAAAAATACAAAAAAAAACTAGCCGGGTGAGGTGGTGGGCGCCTGTAGTTCCAGCTACTCGGGAGGCTGAGGCGAGAGAATGGCGTGAACCCGGGAGGCGGAGCTTGCAGTGAGCTGAGATCCGGCCACTGCACTCCAGCCTGGGTGACAGAGCCAGACTCCGTCTCAAAAAAAAAAAAAAAAAAAAAAAAAATTTTCAAGAGCTTATCAATCAGTCAGCCCTTGTTCATCCCTGAGCAGATGTGTGGTGGTATTGTGGTGGACCTTTACTGGGCACTCTGCTGAATAACTGTAGTGGCACTTGTGCTTTAGTCCAATTGGCTATCCTTTTCACCCTGGCATTTCATCAACCAGAAGAAAAAAATAATAATAAGACATCATAAAGCAAGGGAAGCCCCTTATGGGTCTTTCGACTCTCATGTCTATTTAGATGCAACTGGAGTCCCACGAGGAATACCAGATCAATTTAAAGCTTGAAATCAAATAGCTGCAGGATTTGAGTCAATATTTTAGTAGGTGACAGTTAATAAAAATGTAGATTAGATAAACTACATCTATTTACAACCAACAGCAATGAGCTTTTCGTGAGTTAAAAGAAAAACTCATGTCGGCCCCAGCCCTGAGACTACCTGACCCGACAAAACTCTTTACACTCTGTGTGTCAGAAAGAGAAAAAATGGCAGTTGGAGTTTTAACCCAGACTGTGGGGTCCTGGCCAAGGCCAGTGGCCTATCTTTCAAAAACAACTAGACAAGGTTTCCAAAGGCTGGCCTAGCAGCAAAGGCCCTGTTAGCACAAGAAGCAGATAAACTAACCCTTAGGCAAAACCTGAATATAAAGACCTCCCTTCCATGCTGTGGTAACTTTAATAAACACCAAAGGACATCATTGGTTAACGAATGCTAGATTAACC